CTGGACAGCCACCTGAGAGGGATGGATAAAGTGAGGACCTTCGTTGAGTAGGGGGTTGGACCTGATGGCCTTCCTGCCCTCTTCCAACTCTACTGTTCTATGATTTTGTTCTATGAACTGTGCATAGAACAAAATCTATGTGCATGTTTAGCCTGCAGAAGAGAAAGACTGAGGTGAGATCTGATAGCATTTTTCAAATACTTTGAAAGACTGTCACACAGAAAAGGCGCAAGATCTCTTCTAAGAGACTGAGACACGGTATAATGGGTTTAAGTTACCAGAAGCCAGATTCCAGCTAGATATCAGGAAAAACATTCTGACTGTTAAAACAGCACAGTAACGGAACCAATTACATTGGAAAATTATGAGTTTTCTCAAACTGGAGGTATTCAGTATGAAGCTGGAAAATCATCTGTCAGGTATACTTTAATTTGGAGTCCTGCACTGAGCAGGGGCTTGGACTTGACCGCTTTATAGGCCCCTTTCAAATTCTCTGTGGAGTTATGATGCACCTTGGTACACAGAAGCCTGTACTACCATTGTATAGGTTATTTTTCAATGAAGGCTGATTCCCCAGTATCAAGGATAAAAGGGGAGTATTGCACAATAGTATTTACTTTTCTCTATAGAGTTAATATCACCCACTTACATGGGGAAAAGAGGGCTGAAATCAATGACGCTTCTGGAAGATAGATGGTACTTGCTGCTTCCCCTTCATGATCCTGGCAATATAGAATCAACCTTATTCCTGTCTTAGTGTCGCAGGATGGTGGGTGCTTTTTTGAATAAACTCCCCAAATTCTGACTGTTTGAATTACTTTGATCCCACATAGATCCTATGGCAATAACCGTATATCCACAATACAGTGAACCATTCGTGTGGCTTGCCCAGTGTACAAATAAGCTGAATTTTGTAGACAGGGCAACAATAGTGTGGATTTCTTCTGGGATGTTTAAGTAGGGTTGCATGAATTAGTCAATTAATTGATGAACTTAGAAGCCAATCAATAAGCAATGTGTTTTTAAGATTACTTTTTTTTCAGGGCTTAGTAAAAAACAGTGAATAACAAGAAGTGTCTTAGAAGGGGCACAATATGTTAAGTTAGGAAGAAATAACTTTCCTAAAACAGGGCTTGAGGTGCCATGTTTTGCATGATCCAAAAACAAGTACATATGCTTCTGTTTCCTTTTGTAGTAGTGCACCCTAGTTTATGGTCTAGTAACAACAGAAATACAGGAAAAAGGAATATAAAATGCATATTAAAAATAAAATACATAGAGTTTTAAGAGGAGAATATGACTGAGATAGTAGAACCGTTAAGTAAAATAATCAACAAGAACTCTAAGGATCCTCTAAGGATGAATGGGTTGCATAATAAAGTAAATGAAAGTTTCTATAGCCCACAAGTTCCTAAAACTTTTGGACACATTTAGACATTTGAGAAATTGCTGTGGGCATCTCAAGAAAATTCCTAGTCAGATAATGGATGTTTTGGTACAATCTATCTACCTGGCATCTATCGGTTCAATAAGGGATTGTTTAACTGTTAATTACTACAATACAGCTAATGCTTCTTTTAAGCACATGTTTTGGCATTGTCCAGTAGCTGATTCTTTACAGGAACATTTTATTACATAGACAGATTTGACGCTGGAACATTCTTCAGTAGTCATCAGTGCACATTGTCTTTTAAATCTTGTAGATTACGGCTGGTTCAAGGAAATGAAGCTGCTTCAAGGAAGGAGAAATAGATTATTTGCACCAGTCTGACAGCTAAAAGATTAATACTGTGACAATGGAAAGATAAACACTCACTTCCTATAAAGCAAAGAATTACAACACTTACACTATTTGAACAGGTGTTTATAGACATTGCAACTATTCAGTCATTGTACAAAAGCAATAATTTGCAAAAGCAGACCAAATAACCACATTAAGTAACCATTTGCTATTCATGTCTATAAACACCAAATAGTGTATACATTCATGCTCACATGCTTTAAAAATGTATATTCTTTTTAAAAACAGGTCCCAGTGGACACCATGTTGGGAACTCTTCTGTTGGTACTAGTGGAGATGCCTTTGGGACCATGACACCTGTGGGTGCCCTCTCTTGGGGACCCCTGCTCTAGCCCATTGATAAAAGCTACAGTTGAGGAACATTTTCAGAAGAGATTTTATCATTACAATATAGTAAGAGGAGCATCTGTTATTAATGGGAATGTTGTTACATCTGCCATCTAGAAGTTTAGAGGGCAGAACATAGCACTGAGCCTGAAAAGATTCAGTTCTAAATCTGGTGGCAGATAACCCGTTTGAATAGATATTCCATTTTTAAGATTGAGCTAGGCAAATCTAATGACCAAGGATAGCATAGACCCTATTTTGGAAATTTTATACAAATTAAATTGTCTAGATTTGGTCCATTAATAAATCAATTGACTGACAGAATTCTAGACATTTCTACCCAGTGATACTTCATATAAGAATAGTCATCCTAAATCACATAAAATCAGTCAAAGATACAACTCTATGCATGTTTAGGAACAGAAAAAAGTCCTACAACACAAAAAAACATCCAGCAAAACTCCTACAGTCTTCTCTCTTCCATGTAGATAGTTTACATGGATATGATGTCAGCTTCTTTTTCTTTGCTCTAAGGTATAGTTTGTAAATGCCTGTTTGTAGGACAAACTCTATTAATGACATCAGGAGGACAGTCAGTTCCACGAACTACAGACTTTGTGAGAGTTGTAATAACTGGTGCCTACAGTGACACTCATAGAAACTGGATATATGTGTGTTTGGATCACAACAAAGAATCTCTCTGAGTGTATCTGGCTGCATTGTAAGGAGTGTAGTGCTTGAACTGATGTTTTCAGGAAGGGAATAAGGCAAGCCTGGCTTACATTCCTAAAAACTGGAATTATTTAAAAAAACAACCACTAGAATTCAAGTGTATATGTGTGTGTGTGTGTGTTTGAAGGGACATGCAAAAGGTTATAGACCAGTGAGTTTAATGTCTGTTCAGGGTAAATTGGTAGAGTAACATTATTAAAGATGTTTAAGATAACAGAGATGGGGTGCATAATCAGGGAATCCATACCCTTCTGCCATTGCTGAATTTGCCACCAAAATTCAGTGGTGTAATAGTGGCAAAAAATAAAAAATAAATGGCAATTTTGTTTTAAAATGAGGAAGCACAACTCCGCTTCCAAACAGAGGCTGAATTCCTTGCCACTGCTGGTACGATGTCAAATTAGGGGTGTGCTTGTGATGGGGGCTCAGAGGGCACTGTGCCAATGGACAATGGTCCCTGCAGAACATACATGGTTCACCCTGATGCAGAAGGACAAATCTTGCTGGAAAAGACTCGATGGCTTCTGAAAGATAAGCCCTGTCTCACCAAGCATTTCAAGTTCTTTGAGAGTGTTAATAAGCATGCAGTTGCAGATAAGGGTGAGCCAGCACGCATTGTTTACTCAGTCTTCGGAAAGGTTTCCAACACAGTCCCTCACAAAAGACTCCTGAGCAAATAGTAGTCGTGGGATAAGAACTGGAGTCTAGTTCAGAAAAAAACATATAAACAAAGAAACTCAGATTAGTAATAACTTGTCAGTTTTCCGAATGGAGGGATGTAGACAGTGGGTCCCTCGAGGATTTCTATTGGGACATTGCTTTTTAACTTGTTCATAAATTGATTCTGAGCTGTCTCTCTAGCACCGTCTAGTGTTTGTATTCTCCTATTACACCAGCTCTTCTATTTAAAAATTGGCTGGAATTGCAGCATTTTCCTATCATTCAAATATTATTTTCCATAGTTTTTGGCCTATTTAATTGTACTTCAATCCAATGAAATGTGATATGAGTTCAGTTTTTCCATTTGTGAGCTGTCTATGTTCGTATGAGACCAATTAACTAGTATCCATACACTGGGGATGGAGGGGTGTGGAATACCAAAAGTTGGGTCTGAATAGTTAAGACTGAATTGGGCTTAAGCATGGAGCTTCTGGAAAGCTAACATAGTAGAGCAGTCAAGAAGAAACTGAGTTACAAAACTTGAGGACTACTTTGAATCTTCTCTCTACCATAAATGAGCTGGTTGGTCTTGACAAGAGTTTTGAGTTTTGGGGAGTGGAATCTGAGGCCCAGGGCTCATGTGTGACCCTCCAGGGGCATTAATCTGCCTTGTGTTGAGGGCTAACCTTCAAGAGAACTCAGCAAGGGAGCTGTGGGACAACCAAGAATCAGGTTGTCTACTAATGATTTAGTGCTGGGTCTCCTGCATTAATCAGGTTCTCCAGAAGGCCATGCCCTTTTTCCATAACAAACAATCCTTTGGTGGCTTTCCATCTTTCATGCAGGTTTCTCTCAATAAACAGTTGGAATTTCTTATATTTAAGAAGACTTACATCACCTCCGTATGTTGATATTTTTCAGCATAAAATATAATGGTAATTTCCCCACCACACTGTTTTACTTCAGCCCTATCCATCACTGGAAGTCAGCCCTAAAAAACTTCTCTGAAATTAAATCCAGCTCTCAGGCTGACAGAGAATCTGTACGGCTGTTCTAGCCTCTGTGTCTCCAATTTGTGCCTAGTAATACTGCCTTTCTTTGCAAGCTTTTGTAAGGATCGCAACAAGAAAAGATACATTTTAAAAACTCTGAACACTCAACTGTAACATATTAATGTTATCTTCAGTGTCTCTAAAATCAAGTGACCATGTTAGGGTGACTATCTTTAAAACTGCTTTCCCTGGAGCCCAGTTCTCTATTAATAAGTTCAGGACTGCAGCCTTAGAACCTCTGCATTTTCTAAGCAGCATGTTAGTCTGTGCAGTATGGGGAAAATTTCTAAAAGGGCAATTAATTGTCTCATTCTCTGGCCCAGAATTTGCCCCATGAGACCTACAAGCCACAAGATATTTGTTAAACAATTACTTCCCAATAGGATGCTTTCCATCAACAGTAATGGAACATTGCCCTTTATTTGCAGGAGGATTTCATCAAATTGCACCGCTGAACTCCAGTTTTTTATGGAAGAGCAATGGCAAGCCGGAGGGGAGGTGAGCTCCTGCCAGGTTTCCTGACACCAGCACCTCCCTGTCTCCCAGCCATCCCCATGTATCCGGTCTTTCCACCCACATACCTTTGAGCCCCCTGCCTTCTCTCTGAGTCCTCTACCCTGTCTCCCACTATGCCCCTGGCTGCACCTTCCAGCTCCTCGCTCACTGCCACCACTGCTGCTCTCTTTATGTTGGCAGTAAAAAGTGGCTGGCGTGGCTGCCTAGGGAGCCGGTCAGTGCTTGGCCCTGAAGGGGTCCTTCCTCAGAGCCAAACATCGTGGCAGAGTTGTCCCTGGAGACCAGCTGAAGGACGCCCCTCCTCAGAGTCTGGCATTTGGGCCGGGTCAGCTTTCTGGGCAGCCACTGATGCAGCTTCCCGAGAGTCCTCTCAGAAAGAATCCTCAGCATGAGCCTGTGGGCAGGTGGTGGCTGCTCTGAGGAGTCCCGCCAGCCACTGTCTCAGCAGGCAGGACTCTCTGGAGCGCCTACTGTAGTCCCCTGGGCAATGGCTTTGAAGGTTCCCCTTTGTTTCATTCTCTCACCATGGTCAATGCCACGGTGGAAGAGCAGGAGGCAGGACTCACCCAGCCCAGCAACACTCCAGCCTGTGGAGCCTCCCGGGGTTTCTTCAGCGGATGAGGGTGGCTTCCAAGCCCTGCCCCTGGGAGAAGCCCTCCCTGGAGGGAATCTCTGATATCATCCCTGTTGGCACAGTAACCAATTAAGACATCTGCCTAATGGCTTTGTACAGTGGTATTAGTCAGTTTAGCATACTGGATTCGGTAAGACATCCATACAGGAATCTTTTGCAAGAGGTCTGGACCTTATAAGACATAACAGACTTTGAAACTTGGCAGTCTCGTGGAAAGGGACATAATGGGATTTGAGCTATTAAGCATGTTTTTATGAATGCGTTTTACTGGATCAATATCAATTACTTCTAGGCAAATATTTGAGGAAATCTGCCATTCCTGGGGTAACTATCACACAGTATGTGGATAATATTCCCAAAGGGTGCAGCACCCCTGACTTTGAGAGGAAACCTATCACCTTAACCTTATCAGAAGGTAAGAATTCCATAAAGACCCATTATTCTCATTCTTCATTTCTCATCCCTAAAATACTGAGAAAACAGCACTCAGTTTAACCAATTAATTTTAGAGACCTATTTATGGTCCAGTCTAAAGTTTCCTTGTATCAACAAATATGTATGTTCTATCAGTCTTTGGAAAATAGTAACGAAATGCTTTCTGCTGTGCCTTTTCAAAGGCTTCACGCTAAACTTTTTGTTGCTTATTAATATGTAGGAGGGAATTTGAGAACACAGGAGAAATATTCTAAGAGACAATTCTGTTACTTGGACCCATTTTTCAGTATGAGATTCCACTTATTACGGAAAAGCAGGTGTTGAATATCCTTTTTTTGTTTGTTTGTTTCTGTAAGGTAAAAATGCCATTTTCAGAGCTGTGGTCAAGGGTGAACCAAAACCACAGGTGCTATGGAAGCGCAATAGTAAGGAGATGGATGATCCTCAGAAATACCAGACATCCTTTATTCCCAGCACAAATGAATTCATCTTGCAAGTGAGGATTTATTATACTATAGATGTACATATAATATACTCTCACCATTTACTCTTCTATGAACTGTTAGAAATCTTGTTTCTCAGAGCCAGTCTGATCCAGCTGTTTTTTGTTCCTTTGTTCCTTAGGTCTCATTGCTTTGCCAGCCACTAAGAAACTGTCTTGTTTAGATTATTAACTGGGTTGTATGAGATCATTAAGCTTGAATTCCGGGCTGAAAGCAGCAAAATGAGATTAAATAGGGACAAAGGCCAAGTCTTCCACCTAGGAAAAAAAAACTAAATGCAAGATGGGGAATACTCAGTTCAACAGAACTGAAAAGGAAAAAGACCTTGGAGTTATTGAGGACAACAGGCTAAATATAAGCCAACAATGCAATGCAGCTGCAAAAAGGGCAAGTGCTACTTTGGGATGCATTAATAGAAGCATTACTTCCAAATCATGAGAAATAATAGTTCCCCTATACTCTTTACTAGTCAGACCTCATCTAGGATACCATGTCCAGTTCTGGGCATCAAAATTTAAGAGACATGCCACACACACACACACACATGCTAGAAAGGATTCAGAGGAGGGTAACAAAACTGAATCAGGGTTTGGAAGCATTGCTCTGTGAGGAGAGTCTGAGAGAACTGGGCATGTTCAGTCTAGAGAAGGCTAGTCTAAGTGGGGATATGATATCACTTCATAAGTACCTGAAAGACTGTCACAAGGAGGAAGGACAAGATCACTCTTCCTCATCCCAGAGTGCAGGACATGGAATAAACAGCGCAAGTTGTGACAACCCAGATTCAGGCTGGTTATCAGGAAAAACATCCTAACTGTTAGAGCAATACGACTGGAGCCAGTTGCCTAGAGAGGTCATGGTCTCTCCCACACCAGAGACGCTAGAAAAGAAACTGGGCAGTCATTCAACCTTACCACAATACACAAAATATTAGAAAATATTTGCCAATGAATCAATTAAATACATCCTATGATTAAATGAATGAATGGTAAGGTTCCTGGAACTGATATTTAGGCTAAAAACCCTAAGATTATTAGAATTAGAGTATGCTGGTATCAATGGTTTGCTAGAGACTCACCTGTTTTATTATATTTTGGAACAATAAAATAAAACCTTATGATTTATTGGAAACATTTTAAAAAGAAAAGTTATGTAAAGTTATAAGGCAGCCCCCTAACAATACCAAAATAAATTCAAAATAAACTATAGAATGCTTTGAGGATGAGCCAGAAAAATGGAAGCCTCTTTAAAGAGGGAAGAAAACGTTCGTGAACTTGAAAGACAGATTTGGCACAGTACTAGTCCCACTTCATTCCTTGATTTGGATGCCACACCCCCCCCCCCCCCCCCCCCCCGCCATATTGTGGCTTATGGAAAATGGTCACCAGCCTACCAGCACAAATGATGCTGTTGCCACTTGCAGTAGAAGTGCAACAAACAAAGAAACCTAAAAAAAAACCTTAGGGGAAAAGAAACATGCTGTGATGTGACCACTGCCAACTGGGGAACCCGACTTCCAAGCTGGGGAGTATCTCATCTCCTCAGAGAAATTCAGGGAATTTCCCCCCAGTTTCTCTGCTCACAAATAGAGAGGTGAATCTTCAAAGGGCATTTGCACACTGCTATATCTGAGGCAATTCAAGGTTCATGGTAGGTAAAAGAGCATCAGATGAGCCCTGCGTAACATTAAAGCAAATATATCTGTCTCAAGCCTTTTATATAGAAACAGAGTGACTAGGGTTCTCCCGGGCCATCTAGTCTGACCCCCAGCTCCAGCCGGCTCCACTCATGACATGCCTACCAGGTAGGAGGAGAGCTCACTGCCTCAACCCCTGTTTTATTTTTCTTGCTACAGATCAACAAAATCACCTCAGAAGATGCTGACTTGTACCGTTGCACTGCTGTGAATGAGTATGGAGAAGCTACCTGCACTACAGGTCTCAAGATCATACAGGGTAGGCTGCTCAGTTTTGCATGCGGTCTCTTGTCTCTGGTCCCCATGGGGAATCTACATTTATCTTGCCCCACTGGACACGGTGAGACTTACACCCCAGTAAGCATGCATAGGACTGTGCTATTTGGGCACAAGCCTGTCAAGCTGAACAAGTTTGGAGGCTCCCACTCAAACCTTATGAGGAAGTGATCTGACCATGACAAGGGCGTTGAACTTAAATTCCTCACCCTCAGATCACCCTCTTCCTGCCCTGTCGAGAAAACCAGGTCCAGAGTGTGTTCATGTTCATGGGTTGGACCAATGATGTGTTGAAACAGCCCCATGGCCGCCATGGAGGCCATGAAGTCCTGAGCCGCCCCAGTTAGAACCGTCTTGGCATGGAGATTGAAGTCCCCCAGGACCAACATCCTGGAAGTCTTCAGCACCAGGTCCGAGACAATCTCCATCAGCTCAGGCAGGGAGTCTGTTGGGCAGAAGGGTGCATGGTACACTGACAGAATCCCCAATCTGTCTCGGTTGCCCAACACCAAGTGGAGGTACTCCAGCCCCGGCCTCGAGAGGACAGGAAGGCCCATAAAGGAAATAGAAGCTCAATAAACCAGAGCGACCCCCCCTCCCCTCCCCTCCAGGCATTGTTGGTGCTGGAACAGGTAGCCGGGCGGGCACAGTTGTGAGAGGGAACATTCCCCCCCTCACCCACCCAAGTCTCTGTGATGCAAGCCAGGTTGGCCCTCTCATCCATGATCAAATCATGGATGAGAGGGCCAACCTGGCTTGCATCACAGGTCGGTCCAAAATAAGGCAACACTCATCCATGATCAAATCATGGATGAGTGTTGCCTTATTTTGGACCGACCTGGCATTAAGCAGCAGCACCGACCCCGGGGGGCAGTTGACAAATCTACCTGGAACCTGCCGGCTGGGGGAATAACCAGAAAGAGGGACAGGTGTTAACCATCTGTTCCTCCTTCTTCTATGCTGACCCGTTAGACCCCCAATGCCATAACGTCCATTGCCCATCACCACCCCGATGACGGCACCCCCATGCTCCCCAGGCAACATCATAGTAAAGCACGAGATGCACCAATTAAAAGCAATCTAAAACCAACAATTAAAACCATTAAAAACATCCTACCATAATCCCCATAATCCACCACTAGCCCACAGATAAAACCAAACCACGGCCAAAGCCTCTGGCCAGACCAGTCCCCTGAACGGCTCCCGAACGGCTCCCAAAAGGCGACCGCCCTTAGGCTTTCACCCTTCGGCTGCTGGCCCGAGGCCACTGGCCCCGGTCACCGCTGGCACTTTGTGGCCCGCAGGGCCCCTCCCCGTGCCCCACCCCGTCCCGGCGCATCTCTCACATGTGCCGGGGGAAGCAGGCCGGAGCAGGGCTGTTCGGCGTGCTGGTTTCCTCCGGGGGCTGGCCTGGTCGCCGCCGGCTCTTTGTGGCCCGCAGGGCCCCTCCCTGTGTCCCACCCCATCAGAGTGGGCATGTCTCTTGCCCATTGCAGACTGTTCAGATAGATTCATTGTCAGATTCCAAGAAGAAGAAGTGCAGGAGCAAAGAGAGCCCTCGGGCTTTGTAGTTTAAGGTTGCCTAGTGACGTTTCTTAGGCAGAGCATAGGAATCGACCTGCTTTGGAAGGGATGGAAAGGTTTTCAGGAGGGGAGGGGGAGCAGATGTGGGACCAGTAAGGAGGTGTTGGGAGAAAGGAGCTGTGCAGCTGAAGGGGCTTTGCCATTTGTGCCATGATTCCAGTGGCAAGACCCACCCTGAGGGTGGAGGTAGAAGCTTTACTGAAAGGGAAGGTCAGAGGAGAAGTTTCCAGTCTGGATTCAACTGTTTACATGGGAAGATGCTTCTCCCATGCTTTGGTAGAAGGCTACTTAGAGTTCATCATGTTCTGCAATCTATTAAGTCTCAATAAAAGAGCTGCACTTCAAAATATTGTCTTGACTCTAACCCCAACCCAGAACGAAAGAGGGAAGGGACTGACTCACAACAAATAAGAGGCATATTAGAGCTCTGATTCCTAATTACAGGTTAGAAGGTTGTCTCTAACCTTGGAGGTAAGAATCTGAACTATTTTGTGCCCTCCTCAGATGAATTCTAGGGGCCATATAATTTTTCCATTTCACCACTTATGTACAACTGAGCATAAAGTTTAGGGATAGGGAATGTGCAACCTTCTAGATGTTGCTGGACTGCAACTCCCACCATCCACCATCATGGGTTATCTGAGGTTGATGGAATATATAGTCCGGCAATGTGTGGTGGGTCACATGTTCACCACTCCTACCCTATCTGGATCCAATCATAGTATTTTGGACATTTTTATTTTATTCATCTAAAATAACTCACCATATTTAAAAAAGATTTCCAAAGGCTCAGTCCTATGCATACTTAGAAGAAAGAAGTTTAACACTTCCAGCCAGCATAGCAGGGCATCCCAGTAACTGTGGGACTTTTTTCTTTCTGGAAACACACAGAGACTCTAAGTGGTTTACACAGACAGACATTCGAAAAACTCTTAAATAAAGCCTTTATAAAGGCAAACATGGACAACAGTTTCATTAACAAAGAACCTGGGAGGTGCCATCAATCATGGAAGGCCTAAGAAAAGACATGGGTGTCTAATCACCCCCAAAGCATGCCAGAGTTGGCGCCTCCCAAATGCCAGCTGAGAGGGCATCTCATAAGGAGAAAGCCATCACTGAGATACAATAATAGCCAGGTTAGAGCATACGCTTTGTACGCAGCAGATCCCAGCTTCAGCCCGTGGCATCTCCAGTTCAAAGAGCCAGATGCCAAGGGATGGGAATGATCTCTGTGTGATTCAGACCCTGGACAGCCACTGTTAGTCAGAATAGGTCATACTGGGCCAATCTGGTATCAGGCAGATTCCAATCCACCGAAATTGCCAGTTAAATAATGCATTAAATATTGTTTGTCCCATTTCACAGCTGGCCTAGTACAGAGTGAAATACACTTGTCTCCCTGAAGTCTGCATAAGCCTGAACTGTACACTTAATCCTTTCAAATTCTGTGGGGCTTGGGTATGCTTAACTTCTAAATGGTACCAAATGTCAGTGCTTAGAGTAGGCATTTCTACCACCATGTTGCTAATTAAGGAATTCTCTCTCACACATTTTCTTTCCATTCTTTCCTTTCTCCCCTCATCATAACTGATCAGTTGGCTTCAAGAAGAAAACGAAGGAGGCCCCTTCAGTGCCACAGGCAGGTACGTTTTCTAGCTGCAAAGCCACAACTGAACCATTACATTACCCTGGGAGGCCATAAATCAAGACTTCATCCTGTTCAGCATAATTAGCTTCTTCTCACATTTATTTACTTTTTAATCTCTCACAGACCTGAAGAAGGAGATTCAGGACTTCAGGAAAATACTAAAGAAACGGTGAGAGGTTGTTTTTTTTTTTAAAGTTTGTATGTTTTCTTCCTTGCATGCTGGCAATAAACATAGACATGGCAGCCAAAAGTTCCAGTTCCCACTTGCAAAGAGTGTTACATGGAAGGGTGTGCACAGAAGATCAGAATGGAACTAATCAGAATTAGTTTTAAAAGGTGTGTGTGTGGGGTGGGGGGAGGCATTCTTCTCCCGATAGTCATGGGGATTGGTTTGTAATAAAAGTGCTATTGCTTGTATGATTTCTTATACTGCAGGATTTTGTTTTGCAGCTACTTGGTAATTTTTCCTCCTGAATATTAAGCTCTTTTGCTTAAGTAGGTTCTGTACAGACAAGGAGTCCATATTTACCATCTGTTTAAACAAAGTCTAGAACATTTTCTACAGAGTTAAATCAACTTTTGGATAAATTTTTAATAATTCCAAATGGCAGGAATTCCATTGCTACTGCAGGTAAGATTTTCCAATACTGAGTTATTTATACTTCCATAAGTAATACTTATAGCCACTATTGGGTTGAAACCAAAGCCACACTAGTAGACATCACCCGGTATAGTGGGACTTTCTCTCTCTCAACTCCCTCTGCAGTCCTCCAAGTTGCTCTAGAGGATTTACCATTCCTCCAGAGCAATTACTGAAGGTGTATCAAAAGCTGCAGGTGATAGAAATCACTCCTTTCCCATTCTATTGATGAACACAGTTCCATCTGTTGACTGGCAATGAAACTGCATCTTTTGCTTCAAGAATCCCACTTAAAATGCATCAGGGTGTTCTCAGAAATTTTAAGAAAAAATCTTTAAAAATCTTCCTTGTAGTATGTTGCCAATGGAGCTGCAGGACATTTCAAAGAAGAGTCATAATAAAAGCAAGCTTTCCTCCCCACCCACCCCATCCCCCCAAATAGCTGCCTGCTGCCATTCACATATAATCTGGCTTTATTTTCTTGCGGTTTCTTGCTTCTTCAGAGCACCTACAACTGCCCCAAAGAAGGAACTCAGTATGGAACAAGTCTGGCAGTTACTGCTGAATGCAGATAGGAAAGATTATGAGAAGATTTGCTTGAAGTACGGCATTGTTGACTTCCGTGGGATGCTGAGAAAGCTTCAGGAGATGAAAAAGGAGAGAGAGGACAAACAGGCACTGGTAATGCCTTCTCTGTCATACTGGGCATAGCTGGGCAAATTCTAATTTTTCTGCTATAGTTGTGTCACAAATTTTCTCAAAAGTGTGTTTTAAAATTTCATTGCCAAGTTCTAATTAGGACTAAGCAGTGAAATAGCCAATCTCTCCAAACTATTCAGGGTGCTTAAAACCGATAGGGATTGTGAGAAGCTTCAAAGAGACCTTTCCAAACTAGGAGAGTGGACATCAAAATGACGCATCCAATTCAGTGTAAGCAACTGTAAAGTAATGAACATCAGCACAACTTTCAGGTATAGGCTGATGGAAACTGTAGCAGTGACAGACAATGAATGAGATCATGGGATTGTGGTGAACAGTTGGACGAAAAGCAGTGTGCAGTTGCTACTGAAAAACCAAACTCCATGTTAAGCATAACTAAGAAAAGAACTGAAAATAAAACTGCCAAAATATAGTCCCATTATATAAACCTAGAGTGCAGCTACTGTGTATATTCTGGTCACTGCACCTAAAATAAGACATTTTAGAGTTGGAAAATGTGCACAAAAAGGCAGCTCGAACAATGCAGTGGCTGGAACAACTACACTGTGAAGAAAGGTTATGACAACAGAAACTGCATAGCTTGGGAAAAAATCAAGCAAGGACAAACAGGATAGAGACATACAGAAGTATATTTGGTATGGAGAAAGTGTGGAGACATTTTTCCTCCTTTTTTCATGATACTAGAACCTGGGATCATCCCGTGAGGATGACTGGAAGGAGATTCAGGGCAGGTAAAAAGAAATAATTCTTCATAAAGCATGTAGTTAAACTATGGAATTCCCTTCCATGAGATGTAGTGATGGCCACCAATTCGATGGCTTTAAAAGGGGATTGGCCAAATTCATGGAGGAGACAGCTACTAGTCCTGGTGGTTATATGCTACCTCCAGTATCAGAGGCAATGTGCCTGTGTACACAATTCATTCCACTTAGAAGAAAGCTGTTTACGGTTGTTTGAAATACATAAAAAGGAATGACTGATTTAGCTGTCCTCTGAATAGTCTGTGAACTATTTAGGCAGTGTAAAAGCTCTGACAATCCTATGATCTATCCATATGCTTGCATGTCTTCATTGTTTGTTACAGTATGTGAGCAATCTCATTAACTTGAGGCATGTCAAAGTCAATCAGGAGCAAAGAAATGCTTCCTTTGATGTAGAGATGGACCTGAAAAATCCAGAGAGCAGAATTTACCTGTACAAGGTAAGAAAGTGGCTGTCTAGGTCATGAAAGTGTCTAGGTCTTGAACTGGGGCTAATTAGCCAAGAAGAGAAACAGAGAACTATGTAGGAGCATTGCATGACTCAATAGAAGCAGCTTTTGCTCAGGAGCAGCACTGATGGTGTGATGCTGTAGTACAGCTTGTCATTTATGATACTGTATAGGATAGAGGGACAGGAATTAAAACAAAGGAGCTTCAATTCCTTCCATTGAAGCAGGGGTACTGACTAGACAATATTCAACAGTAACCATGTTGGACTATCCAAGACCTCAAAATCCAATATTTTCATTTTAGTGTTTACTTTAAATCCCTATCATACTTATTTATTTATTTTTTTGGTCAAAATTCTCAAGGGACTTAGCTATGGTCCCTTGCTTACAAAAGATCTGGATATTTTACACAAGTAATTAGTAGACTCATTACTAATGTCAGTGGTCCCTGGCCAGTTGCATGGTGAGTATTCACAAAGCATATTTGGATCTTGTCCTTTGTTTTATGTGGGCTGCATTTGAAGCCATGTGCAGCTGTTTTATTCTTCTCTTTGTGGCACTGAAGCCAGGATGTCTCAATTCAAGAGTTTCCTGTTCCAGGCTGGGATACTGTAGTTAGCAACTCCTAAATATGCCAAGAATTAAGCCAGCTTTAAAGCATGGTTTCATATCCTAGCTTGTTTGGTAACTGCTAAGCATAGTCTCCTTGATGTAACAGGAAACTGAAGAATGTCTGGCTTGTTCCTTTACAAGTAATGAGGCGCAAAGCAGATGAGTGCAGGGACACAAAGGTCATCCAGTTCTTTACTTACTAAGAGAAGTAAATAGAGAAATATGATCATGCAAACATGGCCATTGTTTGGCATTGTTCAAAGAAAGCTATTCAAATGGGTGTTTTACAATAACACATTGTCTTTCTGGTGAAGTCCTTTCTTCCTCTCTCCTATTTCTTCAGGATGGCCAGATGATCAACTTTGGATTCAACAGTGACACTGTAAAGCATTGCCTGCGGCAGGTTGGCAAAAAGTATAATTTTATCATCAATGATCTACAGCTCGAAGATGCTGGCCTATACCAGGTCAAAGTAGAAGATGTAGATATCTTCTCAACTGAGCTGGAAGCAGAATGTAAGGCTTCATGACCATAAAATCCTAAAGGGGTGTGCATTTGTTTTGTAACAAATGAAAAATGGAAACCAATCTGGCCCATTAACTTCATTACTAGTAACAAACAAATGTTAGAGTCATGGATGAGTTTTGAATGGCATATGTTCATTTGTCAGTTATTTGTAGCCATCTGTTTTCACCTAGCAGCCAAAATAGATCAGATGGAAGGTTACATGGGAAAGGGAGACTTTCTTACTCTAAGAAAATGGAGATTGACCTTGTAAGCAGCCAATCCAATTTCTTGGATGCCCAGAGGAGAATATTGCACCACAATGTCTTCCAATGGGCAATTAGGAAATGTGGGAAGCTGGGGAGGCTGCCTGCACCACACCAGAGTGTGGCATAAGGAAGGTCTACAAAAATTGAAGAAATTTTTAAAAATGTAAAAAAACCCCCTTCACTCATAAGTAACCCTTCACTCACCCTTAACAGTGATATTGTTTGTCAGTGCTATGGCCTCCAGACTTTGGCTGGGATGGGGAAGATGGAAAGAGGGAGAGGACATAGAATTCTTTGGACTCTGACATCTGAGCTCAGTTTCCCTCCTCCAGTCTCTTCCCCACACTTGGTGCAAAAAGAGCCATGCTGGCTGCCTCTCCAAGAGTGGAAATTGGAGAACGGGAAGAACATTTGGACCTGTCTACCTATAGAGATGTCTAGCGGGATTCCAGCCTCCTTCCCTCTCCATCCCTGGCACTTTTCTAGGTGACTGAAAACAGCTGCCTAGATGAAATAAACAGATCAAGACCAGGCAGCACTTAGGTCTGGCCATTGGATGCCTATAAGCCTCTGAATGCAGAGGATTATAGGCCTCTAGGGTGGAAGCAATAGAACAGATGTGGCTGGTTTAAGACAGTTGGTGGTCATGTAGCCATGTATATCCCACCAGGTCCTAAATAATTAACAGAGGACAGTGGGATGTCATTTTGCAAAAATCATGAGTACCTAGCTGCTCACCAGTTCTTTACAGCTAATAGTTAAGTGTGATTTTTAATGGAATATCTGTGGGATATAAACATTCTCTTCTTTTAAAGATGTTAAAAATGAGGCAATTAAGCTAGGCTTAATTCCTAGCCTTTCGCATCCAGTGCAGACCGGATAGCTGAAATGTTTAGAGGCCAACATAGGATTTGGAGATTCTGTATACATTTTAGCATTTCTGTGGGTCATTTTGGAAGGCAGACCATCAGACTTCACTCACCACCACTGAAAGGAACTGGTTTTTTCCACGTTCCTCCTTCCATCTTGATTTATTCTGTTGCAGCTGCCCTGCAGTTAGAATGTGTCACATGTCTACTTACCATCAATTTGGTGTTGCAGCCATTCCAGTAAGTTTTCGCCATCCGCTTGGTGAGCTGAGATGCCAGGAGCAAGGAAATGCTGTCTTTCAATGCACCCTCTATGACCCCTGCTTCAGTCCCATGTGGTTTCACAAAAACTGTCGTCTAGAGGCAAATGACAAGTATGACATTTCAGTCACGAAAGATGGCCTAACTCACCGTCTAGTCATCAAAAACACCCAGCTCTCTGACAAAGGGACTTACACCATTGACATTGGAAGCCATTCTTCAAGTGCCTGGCTTGAGGTTGAACGTGAGTGGTGATCTAATCTTGATTTCTCACAATATAATCCAGTGCAAAGTGGTGGATACCTCTTTGCCTCCTAATAGCACCTAACCATACTGTATCCAAGAGCTCACTGCCAAGTGCCTAACTGTGGAGTGCAAGTTGATGTAAATGGAGAGATAGTGGAAGAAACCTTAGGGCTTCTTGTCATTGTCACTTACTCCTGTTACTTGATATGGTGCCACTTTAATTTCTCTTTTGAAATGCTTTTTAGCATGCTTATTAACAAACATTATTAATGTATTTATTTTGAAGAGTAAGAGTTCTATGGAGGATTTCATTAAACTGTAAAAATAAATATAATCTAGACCAGCATAATGTTACAACAGTATTGGACATCGTTTTGTCTGTCTCTAGCTTTGCCTACATATAGAGATTTTATTTTAGCACTCATCGTTAATGGCTATTGATGGACCTTATTAATTTGTCCAAACCCTATTGTCATAATCTATTTTTGTGCAATTCTTTGCAAGTTTAGACAGAAATTTTCAGTGGCCATCACATCTTTGATCTTTTGTCCCACCTATTACAAGAGTAGGTGCTTGGCTAGTATTTGTTCACATCAGTTCCTCTTTGGGAATCAGAAACAGGTTCAATTTCTTGTGGTTAAAAGCAAACAAATCTCAGATCCTCTATAATACTGATCATGATAGGAGGAACGAATGGCCCACCCTATATCATAATGTAAGCCTGGGTAAAGCAATGCATACATGATTAATGTGGATCCTTCATTAAAATGGAATTGGTTTGCATGAAGACACCCTCTCCCATTTTTCCAATATAGCTCTTGTAAATGATATTACATTTTCAGTTAACACCCAGTATGTTTATAATGCAGCTTCCAAAGGAAAGAGGAAAAAAGCCGAAGGAGACAATGATGATAAAGCTGGACAGCAGAAAAAACTGTTAGAGGAAGACCATGCTAAGAAATTTCGTCAGGGTGTTGAGTCTGAAAATCAAGAGCATTTCGGCATAGGCAAAGATGGCCAGCATAGAAATAGCCAAGATGGCAGTGAAGGAACTCATGACTCCTTTGGAAAAGGAAAAGATGGGAAGATGAAATGGTTTTCTGGAGCAGGGGTAGACATGGCAGAGGGGGATCAGTTTACTACACTAGGTGGGAATGGTGTTTGTGGAGAAACAGGTACTGGAATGGGTTCACTGTATAATAAACATGCTTTGTTAGGTGACATGGGATCTAGAGATGCAGGTGGTCTGCTAACTCCAGAAGGTCAAGATTCTGCACTTAGCGGAGCAGGTTCTGGAGACAGATTTGGCAGAGCACGTGGCATGGGAACCCAAGATTCCACATCCGGCAGTTCAAGTGTAGACAGGAACCAACATGGTATGGGAGCTATTAGTGGTGCTGGCGTAGGATTTGGAATGCCAGGAGAGGTAGAAGGATTTTATGGCAATCAGGTAACACTAGGTGGACCTGGAGACAGGCGTGATGGAGGTCTTTATAGTAAGGATAGTGGTCAAGGTGATGCAAGTGGAGCTGGGACTGGTGGTATAGGAGCACTCTATGGCAGGGATGATAAACTGGCTGGAATTGGTCTTAGTAGTGCAAGGGGAAAAGATGGAATCTATGGTGAGGATGGTAAGACAGGTGCAGTTGGTATCACTGGAGATGGTGCAGAGATCGAAATGATACTTCATAGCAGAGATGGTACTATTGCTGGTATGCTTGGCACTGATGGATCTAATGCAGGTAGGAGAGTAGATGGACTATATGCCAAGGATGGAACTGGAGCTGGTGTGGGTGCAGGTGCATCAGGTATAGGAGGTCTCCATAGTAAAGATGGAATGACAGGTGGAATTGGCACTGGTGGACCTGGTGATGCTGAGGGCATTAGTGGACTCTATGGCAAGGATGGCATGCCAGGTAGCATGTCAGTATGGACTGATAAATCTGGTGTGCCTGCAGGCATTGATGGATTCCATGGAAAAAATAGAATGACAGGTGGAACAGGAATTTGTGGACCTGGTGGCGCTGAGGGAGTAGGTGGTATCTATGATAGGAATGGTATGATAGGTGGAGCCGGAGGGCCTGGTGATGCAGCAGGAATCAGTGGGCGCTATAGCAAAGGTACTGTCCCAGGAATTAGTGCTGGTGGACCTGGTGATGCTGTGGGCATTGGTGGGGTCCATGGAAAAGGTGGAATCCTAAGTGGAGCAGGCACTGTTGAACCTGGTAGTGAAAATGGTGTATTAACTGGATCTGGGGGACCTGCTGGGGGAACTGGGAGAACTGGTGGGCTATATAGCAAGGATGGCATGCCTGCAGGAGTAGGCTTAAGTGGAGCAGGTGGTGCTGAGATAGGAGGTAAGCATTATAGGAAAGAAGACATGTTAGGAGGAGCTGGTGCTGGTGGACCTGGGGGTGCTTCAGGAATAGGCAAACTTTATGGCAAGGATATGGGTGGAGCAGGCACTGATGTATCTGGGGGTACTGGGGCAACTGGAAGACTCTATGGAAAGGATGGTATGCTAGACAGAGCTGGTTCTGGAGGACCTGGTGGTGTTGGAATAGAAGGTGGACAGCATGGCAAGGATGGCATGCCTATTGGAGCAGGCACTGGTGGTGCTGGTGGTGC